GTGCCGCGCCGTGTGCCTCCCTCGCGCCGCGGAGCAGGTGCCCTTCGCGCCGTGTGCCTCCCTCGCGCCGCGGAGCAGGAGCTCTTCGCGCCGTGCGCCCTCCCTCGCGCCGCGGAGCAGGAGTCCATCACGCCGTGATGGCTCTTCGCGGCGCGGTGCGTTATTTAAAACCAGATCGGACTATTTTATTTTATGCGAGGGCGATAGGGTTAGGATTCATTCTGTACTTTTTATTTTTGCTGAACTCTTTTCTGGAGAAGGAGAACACACTTTCTTTTGCTTGATCTTGGATTGGATTTTGGAGCACTAAAACTCTTTTCTAGCTTTGGATTTGGATTGCTCTTGTTTTCGACATTGGTTTTCTTATCAATCGTAAGCATCTTTTCTCGTTTGATTATGGTGTTTTGTGCTTGGATTGTTGTGAGTTCTTATGTTCAAATTACTATGAGTAGCTAAATCTTCTGTTGGGGATAGGAGATATTCGTATTGGTTCGTTCGTGATTCATGTATGTTTGCTTACCATTCAATCTATTCGAGTTGTTCTTAATCTAGGATTAGATGCTTGATCACCATTCTAATCTAATTAATCAATTTGTAGAACCGAAAGGGGAGAAATTGGTTGAACGTGGCTCGTTTAGAATAGGCTTGTTCGTCAAAGTATTGCCTATGCGTTGATTGTTCAGATAATGAATTGCTTGTGTTTGTTTTCTTGTTACGGACAGTTATTGAGAACAAATTTCTAAGCAAGTAAGTTATTAAATCTCTTAACCGAGTGGATAAGCTATTAATAGTTGTTGAGAACCATATGCGAGTATCTCCGATTCCTCAACTTCCCCAACCTTATTTGAATTTCGTTTGGATCCGATTGTTCGTTTGTTTTTATTTATTTATTTGAGAATTCGTAGTTGATAATTAAAAAAACCAACAATTTGAGTTAGAGTGTTAGATTTGTTCCTTTCTTTTTGTGTGTTTGAATAGTCGTGCAGTTTATTCCGGCTAACCTTCCTTGAGTACGACCCGGTGTTGAATCTTTCGATTCTACTCCGGTTAAAAATATTTACAACAATAAGACGTCCAATTTTCCGGTCAAAGGTCGTAGATCTAAATTTTTTACGACCTTTGACCGAAAATTGGACGTCTTATCGTCAAATTTTTTCGTGAAACTCGGATATGTTGTTGGCACGGAGGAGAGCTACAAGATCATATAAAAATTTTCAATATCCGGCAAAGTTGGCGGCGGCAGGTGGCGGTTGGCGGCAGACGAGACAAAATTGCAACACTTAATAAAAGATAGGTATTTTTTTGTCAAATTGAAAAGGTTAGTTTTATTTGCAATTAAACAAAATGTTGTGGTTTTTTATACAATTAACCCTAAAAATTATGAATCTTTAGTTAAAAGAAAGAGCAGCCTTTATTGAAAACCACTTCATCATCCAGCTGAAAAACAATGAACATTCTTAATAAATTAACGAACATCACTTCAAAAGGCGATGAACATTCAATATGACGCAAAATGAATGATTAGTCAAAGAGAATAGTAAAATTTTCATCACTGGAACATATTCAGAACGCTCAACAATACCACATATTCATTTTATGCAAATTAATATTTATTAATTTAATGATTTTTATGAACTGTTTGATAAATAAATAAAATATATGTATCAAGAAAGTTGGTTAAACGAAAATTTATTGGTAACATTTTTTAAATTATTGGTAACAACAATAACAATACCTTACTTATCTATGTCACTATGTGTTGTTGTAATAATTAAAGATGATCATAATTTATTGAGAATGCTACAGTCTCGTTACAGAACTATTCCGTCGAAATTTGTAATCGTTACATTATTATGTAAATATCGTGGATAATTGACGTAACGATTACAAATTTCAAAGTAGTAGTAATAATTTCTTGTTGATTGCAGAAGTTGCTAATTTCCAGAAAAGCCCATATAGCCAGCCTAGACCAAACACATCATAAATAGGCTCCACAATTTGATAGCTTTTGTCGTGCCACCTAATCCTCCGCCGATCCACTCCTTGATCTCCTACATCTCGACTACACATTGATCCTTGTACTTTATCTCCCATCTCACGCTTCCTCGAGTTGTACCACGTGCTTTTTTTGTTGACTCTCGCTCGACGGTACAATCATTTATAGCGGCATCTGAAATTCTATCTCAAAATTGATAAATCCAATCTGTGTTGTCATTGCGTTTTTTGAATCTCTTCCTTGTCTCTCGCTTCAGAGGATTCTTGAAATTTTGGGAGATTGGAGTTTTGGTTTGAGGAGCAAAAACCCTAGAAGATTTTAATTGGGAAACCCACGGGCTTCGAGCACCGAAGTTTTTGGGTCTGGATGAGCCGCCGGGAGGGAGAGCCACCGGAATTTGTGCCTGTAGCAAGATATTTTTTTTTTTTTTTTTTTTGGGCAGAGAAATTGTATCTTGTTATTGGGAAATGCCAAGCATTGGTGTGAAATTATACAGCGTCTTCTTCAAATTAATGCTCAAGCATCGCCTGCAGAGCCGATTGCAGGCGCCGGAAAACGATGCTGGCGGCGGCTCCTTCGGCGTTACCTCGCGGCCGGATGAGGAGGCCGCCGCCGCCGCTAATCCATCCTTTACCGACGGCGTCGCCACCAAGGATATCCACATCGATCCCGTGACATCTCTTTCTGTGCGTGTTTTCCTTCCCGATACTTGCCTCCATTCCCCCGAGACACGAGCGAGATCTGGAACTGGGTTATCGAGCCCCGGATCAGATCCAAACCAAGCCTTAACCCGCCGGTACAGCTACGGATCTTCTGATGGCATGGCTGTCTCCGGCAGCAATGGTGTGGCTGTGAGGCGCGCCCAGAACGCCGACAGCAGAAGAAATAGCTATGGGTGTAGCATTGATGACAGTATGGTATCGGATAACGGGATCTACAGAGGGTACAATCCGGTCGGCCATAACCGCCGCCGGCTGCCCGTGATGCTGCAGTTCCACGGTGGGGGTTTCGTTAGCGGCAGCAATGACTCAGCGGCAAATGATTTCTTCTGCCGGCGGATCGCAAGGCTGTGCGATGTGATTGTGCTGGCGGTGGGGTATAGGCTGGCGCCGGAGGATAAGTACCCTGCGGCATTTGAGGATGGGTTCAAGGTGGTGCATTGGCTCGCGAAACAGGCGAATCTGGCGGAGTGTAGCAAGACACTGGGGAGCTCGAGAGCGGGAGGAGGCGTGGATTTGAGGAGGTCGGAGGGTAGCTGGCAGGTTTCGGATGCGTTTGGGGCTTCCATGCTGGAGCCATGGTTAGCTGCTCATGGGGATCCATCCAGGTACTTTTAAAATTTATTATTGATTTGGTGTTGATTTTTTATCTGATTATGCATTGCGGTTTTATGCGTTGGTGTTTCTTGAGTGGGTTGGTTTCACTTTGATAAACGTTCAAATGAAGATGATTACACGATCAGGGTCAGTATAAAATGTGTTAATTGTAATAACCCCGGGAAGTCGAAACGGGAAGAGCCCACAGTGTGAGTTTTTCAACCGTTGAATTTCATATGAAAAGAATAATGAAAGCATATATGCAATTTTAATTCAGATGTGGGAATGTGAACATTTGCAACAGCTGAGTCCTGAGTCATTTTGTCTTTTCTGGATTGAACTTGAATTTTGGATACAACCATATAGTGTTCTGTTGGAGCTTTCACATTTCAGTTTCATTACGAGTGTTGTTTTACAATGTTCATTTTGTGTTGTGCTTTACTGATGAGTTAGAAGATTGTTTGCGGGAACTTCCAAACTCGTACAAGCACCATTTAGCTCAAAATTCTTTGAACTTTTCTCCAATTTAAACTCCTGCTAGATCTGGTTCGACCAAAATTTTGCCCAAATTTGTGTTCTTCTTATTTAATTCTTCATGTATCCATTCTGGAAGGAGAAGCTGAGGAAAACAGTGCAAACTTCGGTACATTGATGTAAAAGTGTTATTTTAGTGTCTCATTTGACAGTGTAAACTTGGGCTCATAGTTGGTTCAATAAATTCACTAATTTTTTGTTTGCGTTAGGAAATCTGACTTTAAAGTTTCCGGCAACTAGAGTTGCCTTAAGACTTAAGAGGTTTTGGCCGTGATGCCTGCCATACAAGTGGCTTGATTAAGCTTAGTTTGTGGATGTGTGTCCTTTTCGTGGTTTGAATGTCCGATTAGTGGCTTGGCATAGAATATCAACATTGCCCCTTGTGCAGTGCTCAGGAGGATGGAGAGAGGAAAAGGGTGTTGGATACTTAGATTAAGAGATATTAAAGATGCTATGCATATTGTTGCTGCTTTGTTTAGCTAGTCCTTCAAAGTTACGCATCCTGCTGCATTAAAATCTGGTGAATGTACAAACAATTGGAGAAATATTTTACATGAAAATATTCAGCAAGAATTACATATGACCACTTTGTGTCCATAATGAGGGTATGCCCAGCGGTGAATACTTGAGAGCCCTTGGATTATTCTGGGTTATAATCTGGACCACTGTATATAATGTACAATTTAGTAATAAAAGTTAATATTTTCCGGCTTGTTTTCAACCCTGTTTCTTCACTGGGCACATATCCTCCAATTTTAACCCATTGTTGAGGATACTGTTCTATACATCCCAAATACAAATATACAATCTGCCAAATATCTATCGGCATCCCTGTGAGAAAAGACCGGCCAACCCCTAATCCCATTGTATGTGATAATTGAGAATACTACCCTCGAGTTTACCCATATTACACAAACTAAAAGTGAAAATCCAATTAGTTCTTCAAAGCCGCAATTACCTCTGCTACCCTAATACACCTTCTCATTGGAATATAATAAAACAGATGCGTACTCCTTGGCGTGAGCTGCGGTGCAAACATAGCCGACCACGTGGCTCGGAAAGCGGTGGAAGCCGGCCGGCTTCTTGACCCGGTCAAAGTAGTTGCTCAGGTCCTAATGTACCCCTTTTTCATTGGGAGCACTCCCACGCGTTCGGAGATCAAGCTCGCGAATTCCTACTTCTACGACAAGGCCATGTGCATTCTCGCGTGGAAGCTATTCCTGCCGGAGAATGAGTTCAGCCTGGACCACCCGGCAGCCAACCCGCTGGTCCCGGGCCGGGTCGGCCCGCCCCTGAAGAGGATGCCACCAACGCTGACAGTAGTGGCGGAGCACGACTGGATGCGGGACCGGGCCATCGCCTACTCTGAGGAGCTGCGCAAGGTGAATGTTGACGCGCCTGTCCTCGAGTACAAGGATGCGGTCCACGAGTTTGCCACGCTGGACATGCTGCTGAAGACGCCACAAGCCCAGGCGTGTGCAGAGGATGTTGCTATCTGGGTCAAGAAGTATATATCGCTAAGGGGTCATGAGTTCTCATACTGATTTTGATTTTGTATTTGTTTTATCTTCTTTTTTGGTTTGTATTAGTGTTGTAATGTGTACCTGCTGCTGCACGTTTGTTTGATATTATTATTAGGTGATTGAGTTGGAGGAGATGTCATTTGTTTGATTGAATTGTGTTGTAAGCGTTGCTTTTTTGTAGATGGGAAATTGATTAATTAATTATCGGAAGATAAAGGCTACGGTTTATTTTAATTATTATTAACTCAATGTATTTCGTGTTTAATCGTTTCATACAAAATAAAATAGTTGTTGGGATGGTAAGTCTATTAAATTAGAAAATTGTACAGATATGCTTGAAAATTGAAATAGCTGTCGTTAAAGCAATGAAATCTGTTTATGTGATACTCTTCTGCAAATCTGCTGCTTAGAACATCTCCAATGGTTGAAGGGGATTCTTGTGTATATGACAATTGAATAGACGGTCTTTTGTCCACGTGGACTGAATAGAATGGCATGTTGATAAGTAACTCTCCAGTGATAGATGTCTATACACGTTTTTTTTTTTTTTTGGTACAGGGACCTTCCGGTTTCTGGATCCACAAAGGAACGACTAATCCGGAATCGAGCCGGGTAGGACCACAAGGGCGGCAAAGCTCTCCCTCAAGAGTTTTAACACTGCTGCATTCCCAGGGCTCGAACTCGAGACCATTGGTTAAGCTGGAAGAGACCCAAGTCATCTCATCCAAGCGCTCTTGGGTTCTATACACGTTAAATGTGTATATACGTGTTTTGTTTTGTTTTGTTTTGTTTTTTTTTTTTTTTTTTTT